ACAATTTTAGTTATCTGTAGACAAAAATAACATCTTTCGTTCATCCTGATAAAAGAGCGTTCTGTTACGGTCTTCATATTCACATTCGCTCGACAAACGACAAACGATACCAGAGTTGAGTTGATAAAACATAATTTTTGTGCTTGGAAGAATTCATAAGATGCTTTAAGTATATTTTGTCAATTTCCAAGGTCTTCGACTGTGTTCACCATGAGACTTTAATGAAGCAGCTACAGTATTATGGTGTCAAGAACACAACGCTTAAATTAGTTATTTCATATTTAAGTAATAGAGTGCAGAAAGTTTTTCCCAATGGTAAAAGTTCTTCCGAATGTCCCGTACACATGAATGTCTCTCCGAGCTCAATTCTTGGTCCATTCCTATTTTTAGTTTATAATAATGGATTCTCTTTTGAACTTCCTTTGTAGGTGATAATCATGAAATAGTTCTATTTCCTGATGATACTTCCTTCATTTTAAACTTAAACGACAATCATTTAAATGTAACGAAGAAATGCTATATCAAAGTTAGTGCATTGGTTTAACTTTAATAATCTACATTTAAACGACAATAAAACTAAATGTATAAAATTTATATTTATATATTATGTTTTATTTTTAATATTTTTATTTATTTAATTTAAAATGTTTTTAATTTAACAACAAATGTTAATAATCCGAATACCAATGTGTTTTTAAGTGCGGAAGAACTGAGTCCTGTTAAATCCTCTGTTTTTCTTGGCATCACTCTTGACGCTAAGCTTCAGTGGGCAGTCCCATATATGTCCACTAGCAAGCAGACTGAGCTCTTCAGCTTATTCTATAAAAATAATTATTATTTATTTAGAATATTAATTTATTTCAGTTATTTCCATAGCATAATGTCATATGAGATTTTGCTGTTGAAAAATGCGGCTGATTTAGAAAGTATATTGTTTTGCAAAAGAAGTCCATAAGAGCTATTTACAACCTTAAACCGAAAAAGTCTCTTAAAGAAAAATTTAAAGTTGTAAATATATTAACCTTAGCCTCTCAGTGTATCTGTGAAAATTTGATGTATGTTCAAAAAATAAAGGTAGTTTTAGTAAAAAAAGTGACATACACTCTGTAAACACTAGGAACAAACACAAGCTGGTGCTATCAGTTTCTCGACTACACAGAGTCAGTAATTCATTCTTGGGGCAATGTATACGCTATTACAACAAAGTCCCAGAAAATATACAAGGTCTCTCTACAAAAACTGTATAAAAAGGGTTATTATGATATAAATGAATACATGGTTGATAATAACCATGGGAATGAGGTGGTCGCTTCCAAGCTGTTTCTAAAATAAATTTTGTAAATATTCTGTGACCCTTGACAATGCAAAATTTATTTTTAAAAAAACTTCCCGCTGGGTTTCTTGCTGGTTCTTCCCAGAGCAGAGGATATCTTCCTTAGCAGCTGATGAGAACTATTGTTGTGCCTATAGTAAAAAATAAAACTGGAGATATATCTGACAAAGAGAACTATAGGCCCATCTCATTAGCTACTATCATGGCTAAGGTGCTTGACAGTCTGCTTGAGCGGCATCTCAGTGGATATCTAAAATTACATGATGCTCATTTCAGATTTAAAAAGAGTCTCTCCACTGAGAGTGCAATATTAACACTCAAGCATACTATTAGGTACTATACCAATAGGAAAACACCAATTTACGCTGCCTTCCTGGATCTGTCAAAAGCATTTGACCGAGTTAATTATGATATTCTGTGGAAGAAGCTGCGTGAAGTGGCCTTACCAAGCGAGTTGATTGAAATATTTAAATACTGGTATGGCTATCAAATAAATCAGGTCAGATGGACAGAGGCACTGTCCAATGAGTACAGGTTAGAGTTAACTTCACCAGCGCTCTTCAACTTGTACATTAACCAGTTAATCGTTGAGCTCAGCAACGCTGGTGTCGGCTGCTCAATTGATGGGCATTTCGTTAACAGCATAAGCTATGCAGACGACATGGTGTTGCTGAGCCCATCGATTAACGCACTGAGGACATTACTTAATATTTGTGATACTTATGCTGCGACTCACGGTCTCATTTATAATGTAAAAAAAAGTGAAGTGTTGTTATTTCGAGCTGGATCAAAAATTGAAACGATTCCACCTGTTAAATTAAGGAATGTACAGTTAAATAGAGTGTATCAATTTAGGTATCTTGGTCACGTTTTAACTGAGGACTGATGATGCGGACATAGAAAGAGAAAGAAGGGCATTGGCGGTTCGCTGTAACATGCTGTCCCGTAGCTTTGCACGTTGTACAGAAGAAGTTAAGGTAACACTTTTCAAAGCCTTTTGCCAGTCATTTTACACGCGCAGTCTATGGGTTAAGTACACGCAGAGAGCCTACAATGCCCTTCGAGTACAATATAATAATGCCTTCAGGATGCTGATGGGGTTTCCGCGGTATTGTAGCGCTTCAGGGATGTTTACAGCGTACGGTACGGACGGTTTTCATGCCATAATTCGAAAGATAATAGCATCCCTCATGCGCAGGGTTCGTGGGAGCTCTAATAGCATTCTGAGGCCAACATCTGATAGATTTGATTGTCCCATCCTAGGGCACTGGATGCGTATGCACTTGCATGTGCCTGGTGTCATGGGGTGCCAAAAATAAAAAAAATAATTGTTATGAAAATTGTACGTGTTATAATTTAAGACTAACATAGGTTAAGCTAATTTACTAACATATTATAGACTATATGTGGGTCTGAAATAAATTTATTATTATGGGGTATCTATATAGTTTTCTCATCTGGTTGGGTTCTATAAATATATAATTATAAATGAAAATGAAAAGATAAATATACATAAATATCAATAACATAAAATAAATATAAAAGTACATAAATAAATAAAAGCCCAACCAGATGGAGGCCCTCGGCAGGGGAGACCAAACGGCCGAGGGTTAGGGGGAAAGGGAAAGAAACCGGCGGACGATGCAGGCGGTATCGAGGAGCACCGCCTTCTGCATTTGAACCTGGAGCGGTCCGCCACGTAGTCCCAGCCGCCTCAGATGACCCGAGAGGCTGACTGGGATTAGCCCGTTTGCAGAGACGACTACAGGAATAATTTCGGTCGGCAGACCACCCCAGATGTCGGTCACCTCGTGAGCCAGGTCCAGATATTTTGTTTGCTTGTCTGTTTCGGCTTTCACGAGGTTCTTGTCATACGGAATGGTAATATCGACTAAAAATATCCTTGACTGTGCCCGGTCCATCAGCACAATATCAGGCTTATTCGCAAGAATAGTCCTGTCTGTGATGATGGCCCGGTCCCAATAGAGCCTGGCGCGATCATTTTCGAGCACGGCTTCCGGCAAGTACTTGTAATACGGCAATTTCCGATCCACGAGACCGTATTTCAGAGCGAGCTCCTGGTGTAGAATTCTGGCTACTAGGTTGTGCCTGTGCAAGTACTCAGAGTTAGAAAACGCCGAACAACCGGAGATAACATGCCTAAGTGACTCACCGGGATGGCGACAAGCTCGACAGATGTCGACGGTGCCATCCTTTAGGATGTATCTCCGATAGTTGTTGGTCTTAATAACCTGATCCTGTACTGCACAGACAAAACCCTCGGTTTCCCCGAAGAGATCACCAAAGCGTAGCCAGTGGAGGGAGGCTACTGTGTCTACGAAAGGCTCATGTAGAGCCTTGTAGAACCTCCCGTGGAGCTCCTTCTCCTTCCATACGGTCTCCCGGTCAGAAATGCTCTGCACTGCCGGGTCTTGCCATTGCTCGTTGGCTAAGGACAGAGGGGTAAGTCCTTTATCACAAGAAATGACGTCCTTATAGAATGGATCATCCGATCTCGCCAGGAAGTAATAACGGAGGCTGCACACTTAGCGATTATGCATGGTGAGCGCGCTCAAGAAGCCACGACCACCATGCTTCCGCGGCAAGTACAGCCTCATTACCGACGATCTCGGATGATGCATCCTATGGGACGTCATGGTAGTGCGGACTTTTCTATCCAGGGCGTTAAGTTCAGTCTGAGTCCACCTGAGTATGCCAAAGGTATACATGAGGACAGGCATGACCCAGCCGTTATATGCGTGTGCTTTATTCACAACGGACAAAAGGCTGTTAAGCACTTTGGTCAAGCGTGCATAAAACACGTCGCAAACTGACTGTTTCATACCAGCCTCATCGATACCGATGTTCTGTGACATACCCAGGTATCGGTATGTTTCAGCCTCGGAAAGGGTTCTTAAGTTGACGGGCATAGATAAGTCTATGCCCTGAGAGTTAGTAACCCTTCCCTTTCAACGTGGAGGACCGCACACTTATCCGTCCCCAGCTACATTCTAATAGAATTGCTAAATTCACACGTGATGTTTAGCAATTCCATAAGATGGGAGCGACTGGAGGCGAATAATTTGAGGTCATCCATATAGAAAAGGTGGGTCACTTTTGTACCTCCTTTCCGAAGCTGAAATCCCCTCCCGAAACCCTCCAGTAAAGTACTGAGAGGGTTCAAAGAGAGGCAGAACCAGATTGGACTCAGACAGTCGCCCTGGAATATACCCCTTCTTATCCTTATGCGGCTTTCCGCAGCCGTCATCCGCTCGCCTAGATGACAGAGGATCGTACTCCACTGCCCCATACACTGCTCGAGGAAGTCTCGAACTGTACAGTCAATCTTGTACAGCTCGAGGACCCTCTTTAGCCATGTATGGGGCACCGAGTCAAATGCCTTTCTGTAATCTATCCAGGCGGCGGAGAAGTTCCGACGGTTGCGTTTCACCACTTTGCCAATGACCGCGTCAATGAGGAGTGGTTCCTTGGTTCCACGACCGCCGCCCCGACATCCATTTTGAGCGCGCGACATCACCTGATTTAAGTCCAGGTGACGAGCGATTCTTGCGCTCAAAATGGATGTTAGTGTCTTGTATATGGTCGGTAGACACGTGATGGGGCGGTATTTGCTCGGGTCTGTGGCACCCTGATCTTTAGGAACCAAATGAGTGATCCCGGTAGTGAAGAGGCTTGGGAGCGACTTCTGGTTGAGAGCCTCTTGAAACTGTCGGGCGAGCACAGCGTGACACACCATGAACCCCTTTCCAGTTCCTACCTTTCACCCGATGAAAATGCTGCGGCTGAGGATGCGGCGCCACAACTTGCTGAGCAAATGGCAAATGTGGATGCCGCCGTGAATACGCCAGTTGTGGTTGATTCAAACGATGATGGAACAGTCACCCAGGAACTGGAACTAGAGCAAATGAGGAGTACATTGGAAGAGGCGATTGTGGAAACGCGCAGTACGACTCTCGAAAATCGACCGCGACTTCCCCGCTTAGCCCTAAGTAAGCGGAATCGGGCTGTCGTGAGGGCTCTGAACCCAATGCTGGTTACCTATTTGGAAGCCAGCCGGGACCTTTTGCGAGACGAACTCAATTCTTTTTGGCGCCGCACTGGCAGTCTGCCGTATTACAGGTACCAAACTTTCCACGGCTGGACGCGCTACTGGACAAAGTAGTGCTATCCCAGCCTGGAGAATAAGAATTGAAGAACGTATGGCAAAGGCTAGGGCCCTCATCGGCAGACTGATATGCTTCAGGTCAGGCAATACCAGGCCAAGGATTGTGCGCACCGTCAGGATGGCGTTTGCTGGGACAAATGTTAGTTTGTCCCAGCCGGATATAATGCAAAAACTGACGGAGCGCATAGACGACCTGAAGCAAAGAATAGCTGCTTGGGGAAAGCGGATTCGGCGATATACCGAGAGGTCGACACGGTTCAACCAGAATCGTCTCTTCCAGAGTGATCAGAAGAGGCTCTATAAATCATTGGAGCGACCAATAGTAAGTGGAACAGGCCCTGCACCAAATCAGGCCGACACGGTCGCATTCTGGCGCAGCCTGTGGTCAGCGCCCGTAAACCACAACGAGGGCCCTTGTACGGAAGTTGTGGCGAGTCAGTGTGCGGGTATTACGCCCATGGACTCCGTCATCATAACGCCGAATGACGTAGCTGAGGCGGTCCGTAGGGCCCGGAACTAGAAAAGTCCGGGGCTTGACGGGCTGCATCACTACTGGCTGAAGGGGTTCATGGTGTGTCACGCTGTGCTCGCCCGACAGTTTCAAGAGGCTCTCAACCAGAAGTCGCTCCCAAGCCTCTTCACTACCGGGATCACTCATTTGGTTCCTAAAGATCAGGGTGCCACAGACCCGAGCAAATACCGCCCCATCACGTGTCTACCGACCATATACAAGACACTAACATCCATTTTGAGCGCAAGAATCGCTCGTCACCTGGACTTAAATCAGGTGATGTCGCGCGCTCAAAATGGATGTCGGGGCGGCGGTCGTGGAACCAAGGAACCACTCCTCATTGACGCGGTCATTGGCAAAGTGGTGAAACGCAACCGTCGGAACTTCTCCGCCGCCTGGATAGATTACAGAAAGGCATTTGACTCGGTGCCCCATACATGGCTAAAGAGGGTCCTCGAGCTGTACAAGATTGACTGTACAGTTCGAGACTTCCTCGAGCAGTGTATGGGGCAGTGGAGTACGATGCTCTGTCATCTAGGCGAGCGGATGACGGCTGCGGAAAGCCGCATAAGGATAAGAAGGGGTATATTCCAGGGCGACTGTCTGAGTCCAATCTGGTTCTGCCTCTCTTTGAACCCTCTCAGTACTTTACTGGAGGGTTTCGGGAGGGGATTTCAGCTTCGGAAAGGAGGTACAAAAGTGACCCACCTTTTCTATATGGATGACCTCAAATTATTCGCCTCCAGTCGCTCCCATCTTATGGAATTGCTAAACATCACGTGTGAATTTAGCAATTCTATTAGAATGTAGCTGGGGACGGATAAGTGTGCGGTCCTCCACGTTGAAAGGGGAAGGGTTACTAACTCTGAGGGCATAGACTTATCTATGCCCGTCAACTTAAGAACCCTTTCCGAGGCTGAAACATACCGATACCTGGGTATGTCACAGAACATCGGTATCGATGAGGCTGGTATGAAACAGTCAGTTTGCGACGTGTTGTGTTTTATGCACGCTTGACCAAAGTGCTTAACAGCCTTTTTGTCCGTTGTGAATAAGGCACACGCATATAACGGCTGGGTCATGCCTGTCCTCATGTATACCTTTGGCATACTCAGGTGAAGGATGAAAATGCTGCGGCTGAGGTTGTGATGATTATTATTATTATGTGTGGGGTATCTATATAGTTTTCTCATCTGGTTGGGATGTATAAATATATAATTATAAACGAAAATGAAAGGATAAATATACATAAATATCAATAAAATAAAATAAATACAAAAATACATAAATAAATAAAAGCCCAACCAGATGGAAGCCCTCGGCAGGGGAGACCAAACGGCCAAGGGTTAGGAAGAAAGGGAAAGAAACCGGCGGACGATGCGGGCAGTATCAAGGAGCACCGCCTTCTGCATTTGAGCCCGGAGCGGTCCGTCACGGAGTCCCAGTCGCCTCAGATGACCAGAGAGGCTAACTGGGATTAGCCCATTCGCAGAGACGACTACAGGAATAATTTCGGCCGGCAGACCACCCCACATGTCCGTCACCTCGTGAGCCAGGTCCAGATATTTTGATTGCTTATCTGTTTCGGCTCTCACGAGGTTCTCGTCATACGGGATGGTAATATCGACCAAAAATATCCTTGACTGTGCCCGGTCCATCAGCACAATATCAGGCTTATTCGCAAGAATAGTCCTGTCTGTGATGATGGCCCGGTCCCAGCAGAGTCTGGCGCGGTCATTTTCGAGCACGGCTTCCGGCAAGTACTTGTAATACGGCAATTTCCGGTCCACGAGACCGTATTTCAGAGCGAGCTCCTGGTGTAGAATTCTGGCTACTAGGTTATGCCTGTGCAAGTACTCAGAGTTAGAAAGCACCGAACAACCGGAGATGACATGCCTAAGTGACTCCCCGGGATGGCGACAAGCTCGACAGACGTCGACGGTGCCATCCTTTAGGATGTATCTCCGATAGTTGTTGGTCTTAATAACCTGATCCTGTATTGCACAGACAAAACCCTCGGTTTCCCCGAAGAGGTCACCGAAACGTAGCCAGTTGAGGGAGGCGACTGTATCTACGAAGGGCTCATGTAGAGCCTTGTAGTACCTCCCGTGGAGCTCCTTCTCCTTCCATACGGTCTCCCGGTCGGAATTGCTAAGCACTGCTGGGTCCTGCCATTGCTCGTTGGCTAAGGATAGAGGGGTAAGCCCTTTATCACTAGAAATGACGTCATTATAGAATGGATCATCCGATCTCGCCAAGAAGTACTGACGGAGACTGCACACTTCGCGATTATGCATGGTGAGCGCGCTCAGAAAGCCACGCCCACCATACTTCCGCGGCAGGTACAGCCTCATTACCGACGATCTCGGATGATGCATCCTATGGGACGTCATGGTAGTGCGGACTTTTCTATCCAGGGCGTTAAGCTCAGTCTGAGTCCACCTGAGTATGCCAAAGGTATACATGAGGACAGGCATGACCCAGCCGTTATATGCATGTGTTTTATTCACACCGGACAAAAGGCTGTTAAGCACTTTGGTCAAGCGTGCATAAAACACGTCGCAAACTGACTGTTTCATACCAGCCTCATCGATACCGATGTTCTGTGACATACCCAGGTATCGGTATGTTTCAGCCTCGGAAAGGGTCCTTAAGTTGACGGGCATAGACAAGTCTATGCCCTCAGAGTTAGCAACCCTTCCCCTTTCAACATGGAGGACCGCACACTTATCCGTCCCCAGCTCCATTCCAATGGAACTGCTAAATTCACAAGTGATGTTTAGCAGTTCCATAAGATGGGAGCGACTGGAAGCGAATAACTTGAGGTCATCCATATAAAAAAGGTGGGTCACTTTTGTCCCTCCTTTCCGTAGCTGAAATCCCCTCCCGGAGCCCTCCAGTAAGGTACTGAGAGGGTTAAGAGAGAGGCAGAACCAGATTGGACTCAGACAATCGCCCTGGAAGATACCCCTTCTTATCCTTATGTGGTTCTCCGCAGCCGTCATCCGCTCGCCCAGATGACAAAGGATCGTACTCCACTGCCCCATACACTGCTCGAGGAAGTCTCTAACTGTACAGTCAATCTTGTACAGCTCGAGGACCCTCTTTAGCCATGTATGGGGCACCGAGTCGAACGCCTTTCTGTAGTCTATCCAGGCGGCAGAGAAGTTCCGACGGTTGCGTTTCACCACTTTGCCTATGACCGCGTCAATGAGGAGTGGTTCCTTAGTTCCACGACCACCGCCCCGACATCCATTTTGAGCGCGTGACATCACCTGGTTTAGCTCCAGGTGACGAGTGATTCTCGCGCTCAGAATGGATGTCAGTGTCTTATATATGGTGGGTAGACACGTGATGGGGCGGTATTTGCTCGGGTCTGTGGTATCCTGATCTTTAGGAACCAAGTGAGTGATCCCAGTAGTGAAGAGGCTCGGGAGTGACTTCTGGTCGAGAGCCTCTTGAAACTGTCGGGCGAGCACAGCGTGACACACTACGAACCCCTTCAGCCAGTAATGATGCAGCCCGTCGAGCCCCGGACTTTTCCAGTTCGGGGCCCTACGGACCGCCTCAGCCACATCTTCTGGCGTTATGGTGATGGGGTCCATAGGCGTAACACTCGCACCCTGGCTCGCCACAACTTCCATCCAAGGGCCCTCACTGTGGTTTACGGGCTCTGACCACAGGCCACGCCAGAATGCGATAATGTCAGCCTGATCCGGTCCTTGGCCCGCTCCACATACCTTTGGTCGCTCCAATAATTTATAGAGCCTCTTCTGATCACTCTGGAAGAGACGATTCTGGTTGAACCGCCTTGACCCCTCGGAAAATCGTCGAATCCGCTTCCCCCAAGCAGCGATCTTTTGCTTCAGGTCGTCTATGCGCTCCGTTAGTTTCTGCGTGATATCCGGCTGGGACAAACTGATATTTGTCCCAGCAAACGCCATCCTAACGGTGCGCATAATCCTCGGTCTATTATTACCCGACCTGAAGCTTGTCAGTCTGCCGATAAGGGCCCTTGCCTTTGCGATACGGTCCTCGATTCTTTTCCTCCAGGCTGGGATGGCGTTACTTTGTGTAGTAGCGCGTCCAGCCATGGGAAGTTTGGCGCCAATAATACGGCAAACTGCCACTGCGGCGCCAAAGAGAATCGAGTCCGTCTCGCAAAGGTCCCGGCTGGCTTCCAAATAGGTCACCAGCATTGGGTTAAGAGCCCTCACGACAGCCCGATTTCGCTTGCTTAAGGGTATGCGGGGAAGTCGCGGTCGATTTTCGAGAGGGGTGCTGCGCGTTTCCAAAATCGCCTCTTCCAATATACTCCTCATTTGCTCTAGTTCGTGGGAGACTATTTCATCGTCGTTCGAATCAACCACAACTGGAAGATCCATGGCGGCTTCCACGTGTGGATGCTGGTCTGTCGAATGTGGAGCTGCATCTCCAGCCATAGCCGATTCATTCGACGACGGAATAGCCTCACGTCGTAGTCGTTCGAGTTCGGTATCGTCAAATATTTTCGAGCGCATGATGTACCGAACTCGGTCTGCCAGGTTTTGTTCCGTGACGGGGATAGACGGCTGATTATTATTATTATTATTATTATTATATAAAACGTGCAAAGGTTAGTCATAAAAGTAATTTAGGCACGACTGACTTAAAAAAATATTTCACTCAATTAAAGAAAATTAAAAAGCAATTAACTTCAAAACACAACATCAAAGAGGCTTTCCATTTCTACTTTTCCAGGATAAGCACCGAGACACCACAGGACGCCAGTATATATAAAATTTAGTTAGGATGAGGGCTTAATTAATTTTACTCGACAAACTTTATCCGTTTCATTACAAACTCGTAGAACAATCGTTGCTATATTTAAACATACTATATAGGTAGAAATGGCGGTGGCATAACCATCTAGGTTCAGCATACATAAAATATGAAGAGTTGATAAATGACGGACAGAATAACAACTACCTCATTTGTAATTCGAATTTTATGAAAACGAAATCGTATTC